TTAAGTTATTTTTACCTCTTGGATCAAATTTGAAGAATTCTGAAAATTATATCATGTCATGAATTTATTCTATTAAAAGAACCATCTATTGGGGTGATCATTCTCTGACATAGTAAATACATGAAAACCTCAATTGAATTTTTGTCTCCTCCAATATTTGGGTATTTTTGATCCCATCCAGCTTCTTTCTGCTTTATATTACCTTTGAGAAAAGACTGGAAAGAAAAGCACATCTATCCCTCTGAGGCAACTGCAAAAGACTGTATGTGTCAGTATGTATCTGTCTAAGTAGCAACATTTTTGGAAACTAGTGAGGAAATTAAATAACCGGTACCGCCTTCATCATCTTTCTCTTCTGCTAGTGACTGTTGTATCATTCCCCTGCTGCAGGAAAGACTTTTTGCCATCTCTCCTCCTACACATAAACATGCCTGGCCCTCGATGAAACAGGAAATCACTTGATATGTCTGCTGAGCCAGCACCTCCATAGTTGTGTAATATGTTTGTACAGTTTTCAGTAGGGCTAATGGATAGTTTAATCCTCCCTCTAGAAAGAGGGGCTGATCAAAAGTATCCTACAATACACAAAAATGCATATTATGAATATTACATGAACATTTTTATGATAAATATGAGAGCATCTTAAAAGATTCAGTTCAGATAATCATTTCCCACGTTGGTCCATAAATCAGACAACGGATCTTAGAAGGAAAGATTTTCTCATGAGTTTTCCAGTGATATAGACTGTAGTTTCCAGTCCTGGCTATTTCCAGGAAATGCATAAAAAGGCAAACATATTTTCAAGTTAGCTAAACTTTATAGCATCTACTGAATGTTTGGCTTGAGTTTTGGATGAAGATTTGTATTGGTTCTTATTTTGTCTAAATTGGCCCCACAGCTCTAGAGGTAAAAATCTTTCTTCCAGTGATCATCCTTCCTCAGTAAATTAGTACTCGTCACATTTGAAAATCAGGTTACTTATTAGGAACTCAAATAAGTACTTAAAAGGATAAATTCAATCTCTTATTATTCAAATTCTTGGCCTGAGGCACCTAAATAAGTTTCATGATTTCAACCCCCAATTGCCTTTAAGCATGAATAAGCTTTTTTATGGAATACAATAGGAGGCATGAGGATATTCAACACTTCTAGAAATCAGGAAACATAATTAGGTGCTTAGGTAAGGATTTAAAGGTATGATTTTCAAATGCAACTAGGCCTACCTCTGCTCCCAATGAAGCCAGTTCAGAGTTACACCTCATGTAACCTTTAGCCTAGTGGTTAAGGCATTCACATGAGATTCAACAAACATGCCGAAAATGTACAGATGTTGTTCCACCCAGTCCAATTGCCTACTGTATAAATCCCCATCAAAATCCTAAGCCTTTTCAAACATTCCAAAAATAAGCAACCTTCCATATTTAATGTGTATTTTTCACTGGCTATGATACTGTCTGCCTTAATGTCAAAGACAAACAAAAACAGCCACTGCAGAAAATGGCCCCCATAAATAACTAACATGCAGAAGCATGTGTGACGTTGCACTCCATAATGCTTTATAGAAATATGCTTATGAGTGTAAGCATGACATACCTGGAATATGTTTTATGCTAGATATGCCATGGAACATATCTCTGCAAAGGTTATGATCTACTGAATATATTCATCCTATTTGTATGCATGTATCATTTTTGTATTCAAAGTTATGAATATTGGCTGTGTACTTGTCTGATTTTAAGTAGCCTCAGTGAAGCATTTGGTCAGCTTCTTGAGCAAAGACTATTCTCAGTAAGTGCCCAGTCAAGAAACACTTAAGCTGACAATGAACTATAAGAGACGCCAATCCACATCTGAGCTTTCCTGGGAATGTGGCATTGGCCTGTAAAGTTCTGCGTCATGCATGGACATGTGACTTGCCCATGTGACTCCAAAACTCCATCTTGGAGCTGGATTCTGCATGGGAGAGGAGAGGGGTTTCCACCCACGAGAGAGACTATATATGCCCCCTCCATTTTGTCTTCAGCTGGCTCAAGAGAGAGCCTCTCCACCCCAAAGAGATGCCTGAAAGAAACTGGAACAAAGGACAGTAACTACAGGGGTGTGAATGATTGCTGGACCCAGACTAGAAGGAGGCTAGTCTGTCAAAGAAGCTTATTGGAACATCTCTGAGGGTTAGATTTACCTGCATTGTTTCCTACTGCATTAGGCTTAGACTTGCGTGTTTTATTTTATTTTGTTTGGTAATTTATTTTGTTCTGTCTGTTATTACTTGGAACCACTTAAATCCTACTTTTTGTATTTTTATAAAATCACTTTTTACTTGTTAATTAACCCTGAGTATGTATTAATGGGGGGGGAACAGCTGTGCATATCTCTCTATCAGTGTTATAGAGGGCGAACAATTTATGAGTTTACCCTGTATAAGCTTTATACAGGGTAAAATGGATTTATTTGGGGTTTGGACCCCATTTGGAGCTGGGCATCTGAGTGCTGGAGAGAGGAGCACTTCTTAAGCTGTTTTTTTAAGCCTGCAGCTTGTGGGGGACATGGTTCAGACTTGGATCTGTGTTTGCAGCAGGCAAGCGTGTTTGGCTCAAACAAGGCAAGGAACTGGAGTCCCAAGCTGACAGGGAAAACGGGCTCAGAGGTAGTCCCAGCACATCAAGTGGCAGTCCCAAAGGGGTTTCTGTGACCCAACTCGTCACAGCATGGATATAAGTAAGGACCTGACACTGTTTCCATTCTAATCCAAGATGAGAAGGAAATCAGAACTTGGTCACTTCAACCAAAGTGAAGGTGAGCTTGCGTTTACAATGGGTCATATTCTGATCTCAGTTACATCATTGTCAATCAGTGTAACCCATTGAAGTCAAATGAGTTACTGTGAACTGTCTCATGATGAGAAAGCAGAATTTGACCTTTGTCAATTGTAGTTTTTCCAGTATTTATAACATAGTTATTGTATTATTAAAAACATTTACTTTCTAAAGTACTACATTTTGCCTCTTTTCTTCTCTGGCTTGAATAAAGCAAGTGCAGTTTTACAGAACTGAAAATAAACGGTTGTAAGAACTTTCCACCTTTCCTGTAGCACATGTTGCTCTCCACCATAGTATCAGTGTCATCTTCATTATCCCCTGCACAACACTATGCTTGTCCCTCCTGTGCACTTGCTACGGGTTCCATGGTAATAGGAAGAGCTTCTCATTTACTTCTGTCTGACATCCAGTATTTTAAAGAATGTGCCTGTAGACACACTAACCAGAGCCACATGGAATATACTTCAAATGGAAATCTGAGGTGCGCATTACTCTCTGCTAGTCCACCAGGTTCTTTCTGCTGAACTTTCAATCAGTGGGATGACCCTACATCAACAGTGGAATTGGCGGCAGCAAGTCTCAGAACAGGAGCAGTTAAAGTAGTAATGATAAGCTCTAGAAAGGCAGTTCTCTTTCTGCTTCTAGTATTTCTAAAAATACTATTCATAGCCCCCTGCAAAAAAAAAAAAGGGAAGACCTATCCCCAAAATACCAGAATTTAAGTTTAAAGAAAAAAAGCAGATGAAAGATTTAGAATGAGCAGTTGAAAACCATGGAAAAATTAATGGAGATATCCCATCTCCTAGAACTGGAAGGGACCTTGAAAGGTCATCGAGTCCAGCCCCCTGCCTTCACTAGCAGGACCAAGTACTGATTTTGCCCCAGATCCCTAAGTGGCCCCCTCAAGGATTGAACTCACAACCCTGGGTTTAGCAGGCTAATGCTCAAACCAGTGAGCTATCCCTCCCTCAAAAAGACTTGAACAAACAGATATACAAATATATATATATATTAGATAGTTGTGTATATATATATATATATATATACAACTATCTAATTATAAACCTGACACTAGGCTAAGTTATGCTAACCCATAACTGAGATATAAGCTTGAGGCATTGTGAAATTTTAAATGCCTTTTTTCTGGAATGGCCTTGGCTTAGTTTCCATCTTGTATATGGTACCTAGTGAAGCGCTAGATATTTTTTGCATGAGTATGATTAATGAAATATCTAGCATTTAAAAGATCTTTTGTTGACTTTCAGGATGTGTGACTTCTGTAGTCTTAAAAGAAAATGGAATCATTTGCCAACATTTAAAATTTACCAAGAGTTGGTAAATTTTAAATCCAGGTTGGATTTCCCCCCCTAAAAGATATGCTCTAGTCCAAGCACAGCTATCAGACCTGAAGCAGGAGTTTATTCAGGGAAGTCCTTTAGTCTATCTTATGCAGGAAATCAGACTAGATGATCACAGTGGTCCATTCTGGCCTTAAAATCTGTGACTCTAGGGCTTGGTCTACACTTACCGCCCAAGTCGAAGTAAGGTACGCAAATTCAGCTACGTGAATAACGTAGCTGAATTTGACATACCTTACTTCGAACTTACCGCGGTTCAGACGCGGTCCACACGCGGCAGGCAGGCTCCCCGTCGACTCCGCGGTACTCCTCTCGTTGAGCTGGAGTACCGCAGTCGACGGCGAGCACTTCCTGGTTCGATTTATCGCGTCCAGATCAGACGCGATAAATCGAACCAGGAAGTTCGATTTCCAGCCGCCGAACTAGCGGCTAAGTATAGACCAGCCCTAGGCAATTCACAAGTGAGCCTTTCAATGCATCATTCTATTAACACTCTGGTACATGTGCACCCGGTAAGGTTTATGAATCTGCATCTCAGCTTGAACATAAGAGCAATTCCTCATTAGATCAGATGTGTAATTTTGGTTTATTAATAATGCCCATTATACATATCTTTTAGTTGCATTTGAATAGAATTACACTGACACTATCGTTGTAGCAGGGTAGAATGTATTTCTGTTACCTTTTACACAACTTTGATTGCCCATTCAAGAGAGATCTATTAATGCCAGGATAGGCTTTAGGACTCCTTCTGAGCTGAGTAATGTGGTCTTGGCAAAGTTTGTGGGCAATCCTGCCAAATGTAACGGAGAACTGTGCTTACCTGGCAGGGGGCAGCCTAAGATTTCCAATCTCATACAGATGCTCCCTTCTTCGTACCATGACCGAGGGTTTATACGGATATAACGTGCAACAATTGGTACTGGCAGTTCATTGAGTACCGGGATCTCTTTCTCGCTGTTTCCTTCAAAAATCTATTCAGGTTCAAACATACAAAAACGTCAAGTTCAGTTCAACAGGGCTCACCGAACCTTTGGTAATAACATCTGGAACTAGATCAAACTCAAAGTTGGAATGAGATTGTGCCCTGATAGGTAGGTGAGGGGAACTCAGAGATGAATTGCTCTACAGGGAGAACATGCTCTCAGCTCAAATATTAGTGGGCCAGAGTAAAAGGGGAAAGTATCACAGCTCCGTCTTCTCCACAGTTTCTCTCAAACAATGTGCACCCTGCGGGCATCCTCATCTGCTGTAAATCAGTGTAGTTAACTGACATCAATGGATTTACACCAGCTTAGGATCTGGCCCATCGAGGGGACTCTGTATTTGATCTATCCCCTCCTGTGTGCAAGGTGCGGGAGGGGGCCAGTTCTTCAAAATAATAGACGGTACCCTGCAGATCTGATACCCTGCAGATCTACACTGCCAAGTGGGTCAGGGACTGGCAGAGCTGGAGCAGGAGCACTCAGACAATGAGAAGGACTAGGGGGGATACATACATCGTTCCCCTTTTGGCCTCACAGAGCTTCTCAAGAATATATACTACTACCCTGGCACATCAAAAGTCAATATGATTCTTTTTTCCCCAAGTTATGCTTTCCCACTATTCCTTGTGGCGCTCCTGTTCTGTGGTACTCACCATATTTCCAGATCCATTTTTGACAGTGATCCATGCGTGACTGTCATTGCTCACCATTACTTTATAAGACGTCACCCAGTCACTCCTAGACAGAAGGCAAAGGGTTTTGTTGTTTGTTGTGGTTTTTTTTGTAAATTTATGCAAGTGTGTTTAATATAGCAACACTCATAAAACTGCTAATTATGGAAATCCCAATTGGCAAAGTAATGTCAGCACTTGGCTGGTGAACTGAAATGCAGAGCTGGTTTTGGCAGACAATTTAAAAACTTAAGATAGAAATGAACAGCACAACCAAGATAATGTTCTGGGTTTCCAGGAAGAGGATCAGCCCTCTCCTTCCCCCAGTGTCTAAACACATTCTAGCACCTTTGATGGTTTATCCAGACCATATGCATCAACTCCAGAGAATTTGCATTATCCATGAATGTTGCCCACCCCAGCCACAAAACATTTATAATTTCTATTGTTACTGTCAGTGAGGATGAAAAAAGTAAATAAATACTCTAGGAGTAAAATCCCCTGAATTTTAAGCAACAGCATTTCCATTCAGTGGCTCATCCTACTTCTAATAACAGGCTGTTTCCATTTCCAGGTGCAAAAATTAGGGGTGCATGAATCCTGAAAAGTTTGGTGTTTTAAGAAAGGGCATTTGAACTGAACCCTGAAGTTGGGTTCACAGCAGATGGAAAGGAACCAAACCCTACAGGTTCACAAAGAGGTATCTTGCTGAATACCCAGCAGGCTGGGGCCCTAGCCAAGTGAAGATTTTGGACACTACTGCAATATGAATAAAAAACAGGAATAATATGGTCTAAGCTCCATAGACTTGAACTTTTTAGGGGTCCTCCTCTCCACATCACCTGCAGCCAGACCCTCTCTATTTCTAGTAGCCAGCCCCAGGCCAGGACCTCCCATTCTTACCTTATGGCCCTTGTGTTACACAGCTAATCAGGGGTTTATGGAGGAGTAAGAAGCCACCGCCTCTATGCTCAAGTGAATCAGACCTATCCAGATCCTGTGGTCAATCTGATATGGAGCACAGTCCCTATTCACTGGTACTCCCTACTGTGAGGGGAGTGGAGATAGTAGAGGGGGGCAGGGAAAGGGTGAAGCATTGGCTCCAACCCCTACTCATGGACCAGAGGAGCTAGTCAGGTGTGAGGGAGGAAGTAAGCTACACCCTTTAAGAGCAGCAGTCACTTATTTCCTTCCCAACCCCTCCTTCCTGGGTTCGAGAGCCAGCATGGATCAGGGGAGGAACCGTCTCCCAGAGAGGTATGTCTGAGTCACAGTGCCTGGCTGGAGTTATGCCTGGGATGATGTAGCTCATGAAGCTCCTTTATCTGGGGCTAAAGTCATAATTTAGCCCCTAGCTAGTTCTAGGAAGTACTATGGTTTGTTGGTGGGTAGTAAGGGAGGCTGTGTAGGAGCAGGATTTTATAATTGTACTATGAGAATTAATGTATGATTTGATTTCATCCTGCCAGCCACCCTTTTTGAATAGCAGAAAGGAATAGAGACCAGAACAATCCTTATGACTGATTATGGTCACCCTTTTGTTTTAGGGTAAGTTATGTCTACTATGGTTTCCTATATGTATTACAAATTAGGCACTCTGGTTAAATATACATTTCTTTGTTTTAAGGTTTAGAAAGTAAGAGACAGGATCTTGTATTGTGTCTATGTTAAGGAGATTAGAGGAACGTTGAAGGCCTGGGCCCCAATGTAAATTGTTTTGATTATAAGATTTAGGAAGACTTAATTTACAATGCCTTTTCTTGCTCAACATAAAAACTTCTGAATACCTTTAACTGTAAAAGACTGTTTGTGTGAATGAGGAATGTATGCATCAGGAAACGATAAGGTGTGAAGGCCATTGTTATAGCCAAATGGTCAAGGAAGAAGGAGTGAAGAGACTTAATGACACCATCAATGCGCATCCATAATGAAGGAAGGGCAGATTGACGACCCTAAGGTGAAGACTGGCACCCTTAAGGACAATTGATTAAATCTAAACCAGGACAGGATGACCCTCTCGGAGGTGTATCGGAATGTTTACACCAATTAAGAAGTAACCGGTCAAAAACTGACATAGCAAAATCCATAGACTTCAACAGAGAAAAAGAGACTATAAAAGCAGGGTGCTTTGCCATGGGGTTTGGGTTCGTCTTGCCACACTCCAGGAGCATCAGATTGTGACCGACAGAACCCGGCTCCCCTCTGCGACCAATCTGGCTGGCCACTAGATTAATCCAGACTCTGGACTGGTAACTATAAACATCAACTGGCAGGATTCTGTGTGTGTGTGCATGTGTATGACTGAAAAGCATATGCTAACTGCTGTACTCTCAATAAATGCGGCGTTTTTGCCTTCTCCTCTATAAAAGATCCCGTGTGCTTTGTATAGCATAACAGCTGGGTGGCGAAAGGGAGCATCACCAGCTTTCTAGCCTTCTGAACCATCTCATCCCATGTTCACCAAACTTCTGCAAAACTGGAGACTGGTGTTTTCCTCCCTCTTCCATCATGAGGTGACCTCCCAGATAATGAGTAAACCAACCCCTGTTAGCAAAAATATGATGACTTGTGGGGCCTTACGTGCTACTGAGTGTATCTTACTCGTAGGAGTATTCCCATTAAAGAAAATAAGATTGTGGATGGTAGTAAGCACTTAGGGCCAGACTTACAAAAATACTTAGGTACCTACAGATGCAGATTGATGCCTAGGGGGATTTTCAAAAGTGCTTAGGCAGGTTAGGTGCCTGGCTCCCATTGAAAATTAGTAAGAATTAGGCTCTCAGCAGGACTTTTAAAAATAACTCTGTAAATTAGGTACCTATGTGCGTCTTGTAAATCTGTCCCCCCATGAGCATTTTCCAGATCAGTTAATTGATTGCATTTTGTATCAATATTCAGCCTTTTAAAAAAAACGAACTTTGCCATTACTACTAGTTTAAACTGCAAAAACTTGGATATTATCAGAGAGACTGGACTTTTTGCTTTTGTACTTCAAAGCTGAAAAAACACCCACAAAACACACGCTGCTGCAGTATTTTTTAAATAATTGTTAAAATCCAGACACCCTAAACAGAACACTGTATTAATTTTCTGTATCTCAATGCAGGATCTCTAGAGACAGGGGATTTACTAGGATATAAGTTCTGAGAAATGCCATGCTGGCGTCTCAAGTCTTTCTGGCTGTAAAATGATACAAAACAATATAACTAGCAACTTCCGAGCTCCGTATACATTCAGTTCACTTATAGTAGCACCTCTCCTTCCCTGATCTTGTGAAATAATGTGGTGGTTGCCCTAGGAAAGCAACTGTGATCATAAATTCTACAGATTTACAGAGACAGATTTACATCCAGCAGAGATGGAAATGAGGAATTTAGGAGACAACCCCTGTCAAAAAATAAATTTCAGTCAAAAAGTGAAAAAAAAAGCTCAAGAGCAAAGTCCACACTTTGAAATGTGTGCACACACACGCATGCACATGTACACACACACACACACACAAAAGGATTTATTTTTTGCTGTTCTCCATGGCAACTTGTCAAGGACAGGAGGCATAACCAAAAGGTCAGGATGGGTGACCAAAAAAGGTTTTATTGCAAACCCAAAGGCATCATTCCTTTTCCTGCCACCTACTGCAATGCACCACAGAATATTTTTATTTGGATTTTGTAAATAAAATGAGGATGAAAAATAAAAATCAGTCCTTATTCCTTGGTTTCCTTAAGGAACTGGTTTTGAATGTATTGGAAAAATGAATCAAACGTTGAGTTTCTTTATGTCAAGATTCCAGATCATAGCTGAAAGTCCATATAACTGAGAATGTTATAATAATACTGCAGCACAGATGTAGAATGTAAAAACCACCAGTCTATGACAGTATTAAACATCTCTTTTTTTGATATCGTGGCAAATGTTCTGGTCCTTAACATTTTCTTTTAAAGGAACTAGCTCAATTTACTGACACAAGAAAGCATGTGGAGGCTAAAATTATATTCCTGACTTAAGAAGTGTTTTTTATGCTACCATCTCCATTTTGATTTTCTCACTTCACACTCTTGTAAATGTCCACATTTCTACAAAAGGAAAATGGGCACTGATCAGACTTGAACCTGTAACTTCTTGGAAGTGATAACAAGTAACATGCTTCTCAGATGAAGCATGTCAATTAAAATACAAATGTGGCTAGATCTTACCCCCAGATACATGTGCAGCTTGAAAGGATTGTACAGGATTGGTGATAGAAGATAAGCCAGGCTAATGTGGCAGCCCACACATCTGGTCCTCATTTAGCTGGAGCCTGTGGGTTAGGAGGTATCTGATAAACTGCAACAAATAAGCACACCTTTCCTCTTGCTCAGAGCAAGAAAGTGACCCCCTCTCTCCCACAATGTGGCTTGATCTGTCTCCCACTGACACTGTTTGCAAAATTCCCTTTGAATTAAATAATACAGGAGCAGATGAATAATGATTTGTTCTCTACTTTCTCTGAGAAATCCTGCCACAACCAGCAAGAGTCTCTTTGTAGAGGAAACACTGGGCAACATCTCTGTTTCACCTTGCTGTACTGACTACTTCAGGATTTAGCGCATGCACTAGACTAGACATTAGTACTGAGATTTGAAGACAATAACAATTTTAATAGCACTTCATATCAAAACTTCTCAAGGCTCTTTATAAAAGATGTATAAACATTTAACAACAGAACTTTCCCATTAAAGGGAATATAAGAATACTTTTCAGTATTTTAGGCATCTATAGCTCTTTTATAGAGAACATGCTGGAAGCTGTGCTGAATTAATTCTACAAATATCGGGATCTACAATAGTAGTATACTAAATCAGAGGTACCTATCTGCCTCGTGAACACATGAAAAGCTAATACATAGAAATTCCCTATAATAGCATCATGAAAATACTGAATTCCTTATCAAACTAGTTTCTGTACACAGGATGGACAGTATAAACCTTGTTGGTAGACAGTTTGCCACTAAAAGGCGTACATGTTGTTTTGTTGTGTCTGCTCCACAATGTTCTAATATAGATATAGATTTAAATGCAGCTTGCATGA